ATCTTGGTTGCTTGGAATCTTAACCCAAGATTCATTTTTAAACCAGTCAATCATATTTAACTTTTTTAATAACGGTATCTGTTCGAGTAATATATTTGTTATTGAAAGTCTAATTTATATTCGATTCCTTCTTGTTAAGGTTTATTGGTTGACATAACCAGTTTTTTCCATAAATTTTCGTACAAACTAAAGCACACCAAACATTTTTGGACAAGCATTCGAATGAAAATTTAAAATCGTTAATATACATATGATATAAAATAGCTTATTTTATTACACGGATCATGCCGAATCAAAAATCATTCGGCAAATTTTTACAGTGTCCCAGGAATTACGATAATAGCTGTAAAGTTAATTTGGGCCACATTGCATAGTGCTAGTCGTGTGATAATTTATCATGTGACCGGCACTTATAGGACGTGGCTCAAATTAACTTTCAAAGGGCCTTACGGGTTGGCCACGCCAGACTCTTTGTAGAAAGATAGGGCTAAATACTGCATGACAGCCATGTCTCTAATAATATTCCAACATAGCATCGATTTTGAACATTTATTTGGGCAAATTAGCAATCAAATATGAATACAAATTCAGACACGGTACCGAACATAAATTTTATCAAAGCTAGGTTACTTGAAATGCTTAAAGGGAAGAATATATGTTTTTTTGTTTTTAATTAATTACAACTAAAGCAAATCAACATCAAAAAAAAGGTACGAAAGTTATTTTAATATATATATTTACAATATATAATGAAAAAAATGCATCAAAATTATTGTAATTAATTTTATTTGCACGCATTATTTAATTCGTACAAAAAATGTGCTAGTTTAATTATCAGTTTGTGTAGATTTATTTATTTTAAAAATATCATCTGGTTCGTCGATTATATTTGTTTCCATATGAAGAAGTTTTAAAAGATGATTCTGAATATTTGGTTGATATCGGCTTTCTTTATAAACGTCATTAATATTATACAACTTGTTTCTTAATTTATCAACATGTGCATAATAAAGGCTATAAATAAAAAGGCATAAAATTAGCTATAAATGTACATCGATATTGAGCAAAAAATACAAAACTCACATTCGGTCTGGAAACCAGGATTCCCATCTTCTTTGGTGAGGAAGTAGATAAAATAACTCAATTTCAGCAAGTATCTAATTCAAAAAAAAAAAAATCATTACAGTATAAAAAAAACAATAACTAAAACTAAAGATGAAATATAAATATATATAAAAGGATGCATACTTCGGCTCTTTGAATCAGAAATAAAACTCTAGAATTGTTTTCTGCAATAGCTACGTTCAATAAGCCAATAAATAAATTTAAAAGATAAATAACCGTAAACAATGAAAATGAAATCCATAAAAAGACAAGGGTCTTATTATTATAATATTCCCAATTTGCTAATGAACTAGTATCCCCTAATGGTTTAATAAAAATAAAGTGTAAATATTAACAAGTTGCATTAGGTCAGAAAATTTAAAAATTTGTTAATACCTGTCATTAATTTATATACAGCTAATAGTGCAGTTCCAAAAAATTCATATAAATTGGTATTTGCATTTGGCAATAAGATAAGTGAAGGACTCATGATAACATTTCCGTTATTAATAGGGTTATAGGTGGTTGCAAGATTCCAAGGGTTATTTGAGTCATTGTTAAAGTCAGGCATTGAAGGATCGAATTTGTTTGCCGGATGCAAAAGTATATAAAACGCATGAGCATATGCAAATACAAAGAATGCTAAAATTACTAAAAAGGAAAATACGCTTTTTGCAACACCTAACATGATTGCAAAATAAAACCCAAAATTCAAATATTCAAATGCTTTAAAAAAAATCATAAATTTTAGATCCAAAAATAAACATGAAATGGCTAGTAGCCAAGCTGGTATTGTAATATTCGATAACCGTAAGAAAGATGTTATAATTGGAAATAGGTATGCTCCAAGATCTATTGGAAGGAAATAACAAATTAATTATTTAATCAGAAACAGTATAAATAACAAAAATCACTATTGTATATAACCGTAAACTGCCAATACAGGACCCTAGATAGTATGCTAAATATTGCTATACTCGGGTCTTTAATATGGATAAAGTTTTGGTAAAGTGTAAAGATCGGGTATACAAATATCATTAGACACAATTATCAGACCCGTGGGTCTATTATAGTTTTAAAATTGATTAAATGGCTAGATACTAAGAAAAGGGACGAATTTGGCAAAAGAATAATAGCTATAAAAAAATTAATTTTCTCTAATCAAATTTGATAAAAAATTTTTTTTTAATTTGATTAAATAATCATTGAAAAAATTAATTTTTATAATTTTTATCTTTTGTCCTTTTCATTCCGGGTATTGCATATGGCAGTTTACGGTAACAGAATTTAGAAAATTTTTTTTTTAAAATTCTTAATGAACAATAGACATTTGACAAAACTTAACTTTAATAACTTTGAATTTTTTAATTTTACGAACTTGTAAAATTAAATTGTTCAATGCTATTAAAGTTAAGTGCTGTGTGAAATTTTCAGTAAAAAATTTTCTAAATTCTGTAAAATATATGCATTTAAAATTATAATCTTTACCAAACCAATTCCAACTACTAACTATGTAGCTTCTCCAATCCCAAATAAATTGGCGGATTTCAATTGTTAGCTGAGAAAATCCCATTGTGATAGAAAATATCAATAAAGCTCTTTGTTTTTCTAAAGAAATATAATTATTTGGTAAACTTGTTGCTAGGGTAAAGGCTAAAAGAAAGATGGTATACACCATCCAAATTACGTAATAATAAAATCTTCCAAATCGATTCCATTTAAAGTTCAGAAGAGCTTCTCCATTCCAATCAGAGTAAATAATGGGTATTTGAATTTGTAAAGCCGTTTTTATAAATTCATTTGGAGTAGGTTTTAATAATTCGAATAAGAAATTATATTTAGCGGGATAGGATGCAAATTTAGGCAAAGGAATGAGCAGTTTAACTGCTGGATAATAACTCCTTCTATCATGTAATGCATCTACTATTGATACCCATAACATTATAAATATAGTTAACCCAGCAGCGAGGAAGGTTACGACCATAACAAACAGTTCGAGCGTATTTGTTTGATTTCCAAGAAGTATTACAATAAAAAGCCCAAGATTTACTCCAACATATGACCCAACCATACCGATGTTAATCGCTTCTATGAAATCATAAATATGTCCATAAATGCTTTTAAACGTTTTGGAAAGAGCTGATTCAGGCAATTCATCTATAGAGCCATCAAGATGTGAATTAGGCGCATAATTAATTTTTTCACCTGCATGACTAAGTATAGAAGTGGAAATGAGGAACTTTGTAACATGAGAAGGATATAATTGTTGAAGGTCTGAAATTAAGCTTGTGATAGCACGTAGTACGTCGAATTTGCTATTATCTCTATTATAACAATTTATACAATTATCAACAATTAAATTAATTATTTCATTATCATGCTTTCTAAATTTTCTTTT